GTATCCCTTTAATTTTATTTCCCTGTCTGCATTTTTGACCTAGTCTCCAGACCTACCCCTTTATATATGTATGGACTTTTTGTTAGTGGGTCTCTTTCTTCAGTTGGCATTTTTTTTTAAGATGAAAGAGAACCATGAAGAAAAAACAGCTCCCAGAGCCCCCCTGGTCCCTTGCGACAGCACTGTAACAATAAATTTGCAAATTTATGATTTTGTGTTTTCAGGCTGCTACTGGCTTATGTGATGATTCCCATTATGCAGAAAGAAATAGATACTTTCATTGGTGTTATTTGGAATGCCCATAGGATCCGTGAGCAGCATAATACCAAATGTTTCACATATTAATTAGTCCATGTGTATAAATTATGGTTCAATTTTATCTATGATTCAGTTTTTATTTCCATTGTATTTTATTTATTATCATACATAAGCATATGTTAAAACGGAAAATAACAAAAAAGCAAACCAACGATAAAACTGAACCACAACTTATTGTAATAATATTGTTATCTTACCACATTCTTCCAGCCCATACTTCTCTGGAAAATTGTAAATGTGGTTGGGAACCCCATCAGGAAGATAGGTATTATGCTGCTCACGGATCCTATGGGCATTCCAAATAACACCAATGAAAGTATCTATTTCTTTCTGCATAATGGGAATCATCACATAAGCCAGTAGCAGCCTGAAAACACAAAATCATAAATTTGCAAATTTATTGTTACAGTGCTGTCGCAAGGGACCAGGGGGGCTCTGGGAGCTGTTTTTTCTTCATGGTTAAGGTTATGACTGTTGTTAAACTGGTTATATACTGTAGGCTGCTCTTTCATCTTAAAAAAAAATGCCAACTGAAGAAAGAGACCCACTAACAAAAAGTCCATACATATATAAAGGGGTAGGTCTGGAGACTAGGTCAAAAATGCAGACAGGGAAATAAAATTAAAGGGATACTAGACTCTAGGATTTTACTGCATACAACTGTACTTACTGTATAACAAATCATCTATACCCACACAGACTTGTTACCAGATACCTAATTTAATTGTTATAATTAATTATACATCAACGCTACGAAATTTGAACGACGCCATTGACACCCGCGACAGTGCTGCCACCCTGAAAATGTTGCGCATTTCAAAATAAATTTTGCATGTTACAGACCGAGGGCTAATCACAAAGGTGCAATTATATTTATACCTAAATGCTATTTAACCGAACAATGTTCATTTTAGGACAAATTTATCCATAATATAACTGAAACTATATATATGTCGTTTATAAGATATTACAAATCCTTTTGCTTTTAAATTAATAAAAAAGAAACACCTTCGGTCTAATTCTAATTTTATAAAAAATATTTCTAATGGTGATTGAACCATGAAACTTTTTATGTAGCGTAATTTTAACCTAAATTAACTGATGATAACCCTAGAACCTAGAGTAAAAGATCCCTTTAACAATATTTTAAAACAACCTATGAGTTTCATCTTTTGAATCATAATGCCCTTCATCTTTAAGCCGATTCAGAGGAAACTTGAAGAATTTCTCAAGCCTTTCATGAAGTTCTCTCCACCACCTTTCAATCTGCAATAAGTAAAACATAATGTTCATTTCCAAGGATTTCAAACCAAAGGATTTATTGAATTGAGAGAGTTAACCCGAGTTAACTCTCAACCTGAGTTAACTACTACAGTAAACTCTCAACAAAACCTATTAGTTGTTAACCCCTCCAGCCCAAGAGTATTCATGCAAGCATAATGTTTGGTCAATATTCTAATCGATTGTATGCTTTATACAACGTTTTTGAGATGGAATTTTGCTACTGTATCATGCCTCCCCCTTTAACATTACCTACTGTTTTGTTATCAAGTCAACTGTCAGGATGAAGCTCACTCTTCATTATACATAACTGATAAAATGCTTTTGTTTTATGAAAAAAATAACCATGCGGTGATACAGTGCCTTATCAGTGCCGAATGAGACAGCATGAACATGGGCTAGATTGCAGAATACCCCCCCCCCTCACCCCCACTCAAGTATGTTAGGTGCAGATAGGTGTAAACGCCATCATGTCAACGCATTAGTCTTTATATGGAGACTCTCACCCACAGACTTCTCTCTTTTTTGAAGTGCGTTGACGCGTTGTTGTGTTGACGTGATTACTTGTTACTGTGTTGCTTCGTTCTACTATGGACAGAGATGAAGTCGTGCTCACCCCCAGACTTCTCTCTTTTTTGGAACACGTTGTCGCATTGGCATGAATATACATGTTGCTTTGTTCTATGAAAGACAGACAGAGACAGATATACCAATAGTTCTGACATGTACCACTTGCTGCAGAGGGTTAGCTTCACGTGGTGGGGTATTCTGCAATTTGAACATGATGATCCAGAGCAATACATGTATATGTAATGTTTTAACCTCCTCATTTCTGATAAACCAGAACAAAAATGTCATTCACCATACACTGTACATGGGCTGCACATGTTGTGAGTGATTGTTTGAATGCAGCATCCCACATATAATATAACTATAATTAACTTGTTTTTTTTCCTGAGATTTTTCTGTGAACTTTATAAAAGCCCAAAACAGAAACAACAATTAATTTCAAATTCTCACCTGATTTGCAGTTGATGGGCCATAGATTACGGTTTCCATTGGATCTATGTCATTATGATGTTATTGGGCGATTTTATCTTGAGTACTTATTCAAGACAAGAAAGATTGCGAGCAGGCTGAGGCTTGACAAAGGCACCGAAACCGGAGTCATGGCTACAATGCATGCGTTTCTTCGA